GCTTCTTTGACACTGATCTACCCTGGTCTTTTGCTGATGAGGTCTAAGTCTGATCAGAATTCCTGGGCTAGGTGCTTTTCTTTTTGTGACAGACCATTCAAGCATCTGCAGGTGGTAGGGGTTGTTTAAGGGGAAGCTTGAGTGATAACGCAGCTTTTGTCATGGAAGGAGGAAAGAATCCACCCCTAAAAGTCCCCTGAAGCTTGGTGTGGGGCTTGCCTTCTACTTGGCCATAGAGATGTGGTGGAGCTAGACTTGTAGCAGAGGTACGTGCACCCTGGGCTTCTGTTCTGATGTGGAAGGCTCCATCCACTGCCTGGAAGTTGGAGGGTGTCTCAAGTCTGCTGTGGTCCAAGGGTATGTGTCAGTAAACAGGGCTCATCTCTCACCACCGCATCTTCGATTCTGCCTGCTCTGTCATCTGTGAGGTCTCCTCTGGGTGTTCAACTTAATCCAGAATAAAGAGATACCGCTATTTCTTGGTGGCCCTTTAAAAAGAAATGGGGAGAAAACCCACTTCCTCCCTTAATCTCCCATATGTGCTATGGAAATATATGAAAAGCACATTTAGTTAAAAGCTTGATTTATGGCACGTGGTAAGGAGATCCCGCCATGTAAGGCAGCCGAATTGGAGACTGTGAAGAGTGCATGGCTTTTAAAAAACCGCCTGCCAAGATTTGGGTGGGTGGGGAAATGGTTTACTAGAGTGTTAGCATTTATTGTTTGTAAGTGACTTCTAACAGTGGGAATATTTTTAAGTATGTTGAAAGGGAAACTCCAAAATTGAAGTCTCTAGATTAAGGATTGAAGAATATCTGAGGAGGGAAGTTATAATTAAAGAAGAAAGAAAAGAAATAAAATCAGTAATGTGTCGGTTCTGAGGAAATGAATGTCTTCCAAGGTGGGTGGTGGGGCCATGATTCAGAGGAAGGAGCCCTGAAACACAGGGTTCCTGGGGGAGCCCCTGCCAGAGATGTTGCCAAGCCCTGCAGACAGGTTGAGTTTCTGAGGAAAGGGGAGTGAAGAGAAAGCCAGCCATGCTTTACAGTCCCAGAGGGGATCTTAAAAGTATAGTAAAATACATGGAGGAAAAATTAAGATATCCCTCTGTAGACAGGGAGAGCAGATTCTGTATGTTCAGATACTTTGGGTATTTTCTTACCCTTTCTCTCTCGGTGTGTTTTTTTTTACAAAGGTATTTCCCAGACTTGTACACTGAATCTGAATCTGCACTTTATACTGAACGCAATTCCCACAAGTAAACACAGTTTTATATTTTAATAGCAATGGCTACAGCAAAGACTGTCAAGGTTTTCTCCATGTTATTCTCAGTTTTTTTTTCCCTCTGTTTTCTGTTTTGAAAAAGGTCCACATTGCACCCTTGTGGAGATGCGTTATTGCAAGGTGTGTAGGTGTATGGGAAACTTGTGTCGCAGGACTATGGTATTCATTCCTGGGGGTGGGGGTGGGGTCAGAGGTTCTCCACAGAGCAGTTAGTGTCAGACCCGACGGGACATCTCTCTGATTTGAGGTAGCCCCTAAGTCATATTCACCAGCAGAATTGTGTTACCCCTCAGCTTTCCTACCTCTGCCCTAGGACTGTCCCCTAACTCCTACATTGTTTTAGATGTCTTGCTTACTGGAGCCCCAGGCCATCCTGGCTGGCAGCTGAGGGGCCCATCTTGCAAGTCAGACCTGCAATTAAAGTGTATCCTGTCTAACATCAGAACAACCCCACGCAACAAAGCACTCTGATGGGCTATGGCTGGCCCAGCTCAGCAGCAGGCATTTAGCTTGTTCTGTTTTCATTCTGTGAGCTGGGACTGAGACCTCCTGAGACGCACAGGTAGTGTGGATTATAGGCCCGGGAATCTGATCTTGAGCACACAGTGCCGTTGACCAGGATGTAGCCCACCAGACCCAGGGGAGCTTGGCCTTGGATGGTCCCTGGGTACATACATTGAAGGATGTAGAAACGTATAAAACAGCCTAGTGGCTCAAGAGAGGGGTGAAGATAAGGATCTTGCTGTTTTCTACCTGAAATCTGTGTGTTTCAAACCTGGGCCTTCCTTTTTCTCTTAGTTCATGCTTGTTTTATTCCAAATGATATTTTAGTTAAAGAACTTCTACTAAAACACGAAAGAAACATGAGACCATGGTAATAAAATCTAAATGATATAGAAAGTGCTGGAATAAGACCTGTTTCCTACTCTGCTCCCAATTCTTGATCTTTCTCCCCGAAGGTGACCACTGCTAGCCTTAGGTAGCCTTCCAGAAAATGCCTGTGGTCGCATCCCATCCTGCAAGCCTCCCCTGGGTGAGCACTGACTCTCAGGGACAAGCCACAGCTGGGATGTGCCGCTAGCTGCTGAACATGAGCATCATTCAGCACCATGGTCTCCTGAGATTTCCCAATTAGTGTCCCCTCCACACTGGTCCTAGCACACCGAGGGTCCTGACAGTTTAGTTCTGCAGCTTTAGGGTCGATGATGCAGGGCCAAGCTGATCTGATGGCCCTGTAAAGAGTGTCCCGGCTACATGCAGCCTCTGCTGACTCTTTGCTCTCTGGGGCCTGTCATCATTACCGAGCTGACGTTTACTAATTTGACTGTGACTTCCTGCCTCCGCTCCTCTGGCGGGAATTTCTACTACAGTAAGTGATGATTTTTTTGCCTGTTTGTGTGGAAGGACTACCAGAAAGATCTTACAAATGAATGAATGAATGAATGAATGAATGAATAATCACACACTTTCTGCAAGCATAACCCGTGGCCCCGATTCAGAATTAGTCAGGTAGGTGGTTCCAGAGAAGCCCTGTGGGCCAACCCCATTCCAGAATCTTCTGAGTCCCTTTCCTGTGGATGAAGCTCATGGTATTTTTGTGGCCAGTGGAAAGTGGACATCGTGACGTTATCAGAAAGCTCCTGGTTTCTGGTGCAGCCTGCAGACGAGGACCGCTCACCACCGCAGGCTGGACGCCACGCAGAGTGTGGAAGGGGCTTCGGAGACATCCCCTGTTGGCTCTGTTTGGGGCTCTTAGTGGCTCCTACTCTGGTGGCTTTAGTAGGGAGCAAGGGGGTGGATTCTAGAGGAACTCACATGTTTCCTAGCTCGTCTTTTCCTGCTTGCTTCTGCATTTGCCTCTGAGACTGGGACCCTTGAGGGTGTGGCTCTCTATTACAAAATTATCGGTCCTTTGGTTCCTTCTTTTTAAAAAAGAAAATCAATTTTTGTTGTGCCACGATGAGTAAAGGCCCTGTTTGCATAGTAAAATTTAGATATAGCTTCTCCTTGGGGGTTGGTGAGATGGATCGATGGGCAAAGGCGCTTGCTGCCAAGCCTGATGATCTGAGTTCGATTCCTGGAACCTATGTGGTAGAGAGAACTGACTCTCAGAAATTGTCCTCCGACCCTCCACACAGATAGGCATACAAACACACGTAGATGAATTTTTTCATTAAAAAAAAAAAGTCACCTTTCCTTTTCCCCAAAGACAACTTCAGAAGGTTCAGAAACGTTCCCATGTTTATTTTAAATGATAATAGGATTTCACATCAAAACTCACTCCTTGATTTTAATATTTCTTTTCTTTTTTTTTTTCTGAGATAGTTCAAGCCCAGAGATCCTATGTGGCTAAGGATAACCTTGAACATCATTGACTTTAATACCTCAGGCACCTTTTCTCACTTCTGTTAAGGGTGGTTGGGGTTTACAAAGAGCAGAAAGGTGTGCCAAATGAGACGGTCCTGGGAAGAACCTAAGTCCTGGGTTCCTCTGACGAGAGTCTAGGATCCACCCAGGAAAAGCTCCTTTGGCTTCATCTGTGCTGGTTGGATTGAGGAGATGTTTGTCTGCTCAGCTGGGGATCATCAGCCATGAGGGGATGGAAGCCAGGATGGCTTGGTGTGATACCCTGGATGGTTCCTGTCTAACCTTGACATTCCATGTGTCTTCGGCCAAAGCCTCAGTCGAGGTCCAGAATAAAGCAGTACCCAGCAGCCCACAGTCAGACCAAGGCTGTGTGGTCATACCCAGGCACAGCCTTCACATGGGCTCTGAGGAAATTTTCTTCCTCAGTCATCCGCCAAGGAGAGACCGTGTGTTTAAGAGATAAACACTGTGTCTGACATAGGCTGCTACAAATCAAGGGACATGAGAAAATAGCTCGGTGAAGCCTGTGTACTGCCAGGTGGGAGAGGGTCCTTCCCGGGTGGTTCTGAGTGATGGTGTCTTTCCCTCAACTCCTGGTCTCATGGGTTCACTGCCCTGCTTACTGGAGCTAAAGGGACAAGAGCCAACCCATTTTCACCAAATGGTCTGGACATCATCAAGTTTCAGAAGGACTAGAGATGAAGAATGACCTCCCAATGCCTGGGCCTTGGGTTTCCTTGAATGAAAGACCCTTGAGTTACCAGAATGCCCTTCCCATGCATACCCTACAGCTCTTTCCTTGAGATCCCCTTTTTGCTTTTTGCAAAGGCAAGTGGGAGAACTCATCTGCTAGGTATTTGTGAATCCCTGCTGCTGATTCAGTTTGGGATTTGTTTTTATTTTATGGTGCTGGAAATGGAACTTAGGACCTTGTCCATGCCTGACCAGCACCCTGTACTTGAGCCCAGCCTGCATGTTAGTGAATCTTAGGAGCACAACATCAGTCCGTGGCCTGAGCAGGACTAAGAGAGCTTCTTCATCCAAGGCTCTGAATAAGGAAAGGCAAAAAGATGGTAATGAAGCCTGTGGGGTCTGTCTGCACATTCTTAAGTGACTGTCTTTAAAAATTAAGATGAAAAGAAGAAATACCATGATTAAACTTCTATAAATATTTTTATGGGGAAACCTGATCTTTCCTGTGACTTTTCCTTTTGATCCACTTTTTTTTTTTTTGCCTTGTTCCTTCCCCTTTCTTTGTAAGAACTGATGCTCTGGCTGGGTCCCAGCTCACTTCCAGGCTCCTCAGGTAGAGCCAGGATTACATCTGCCTCTTTGCATTTTGTATCCAGGTTTCGGCTGAGTCTAGCTCGTCCATGAACTCCAACACCCCGCTGGTGAGGATAACGACTCGGCTGTCCTCAACGGCAGATACCCCAATGCTAGCAGGGGTCTCCGAGTATGAGTTGCCAGAGGATCCGAAATGGGAGTTCCCCAGAGATAAGTGAGTACTTCTTCTGTGCATAGCCCCAGTGAACGCTTAGCTATAAATGGGAATATTGGATTGACATTTTCTTTTCATGGCCTTTAGCTGCAAAGGTCTTACTCTGACATTGTCAATAGGAGTGAGATTGTGTGTCTGAATAACCAACTCCTGGAAAGAAGAATTGAAATTTTTATTTTATTTATTTATTTATTTATTTATTTACAAAGTTCTGCCTAGTAACCAAGCAAGATGGCATGTGGTTGTCATTGTTTAAGTTTCTAGACAATTTAGACCTAGTTAGGTGGAACAAAAATGGAGTTATGCAGTCTTTAAAACAGAGCTGACATTCCAACTTCTGGTTACTAGATATTGCCTTAAGGATCTGGGTTTTTTGTTGTTGCTGTTGTTTGTTTTGTTTTTATTTATTTATTTTTTCGAGACAGGGTTTCTCTGTGTAGTTTTGGTGCCTGTCCTGGATCTCGCTCTGTTGACCAAGCTGGCCTCGAACTCACAGAGATCCACCTGGCTCTGCTTCCTGAGTGCTGGGATTAAAGGCATGCACCACCACCGCTCGGCTTTGTTTTGTTTTTAATAGTTATTCGCGTGATATTGGGCTGAAAAGTTTCAAATCTGGCACCTGGTACCCGAGTTCTATGCTCTACAATACTTTTGCTTATTGGTTGATAGGGAGGTATCTAGATATGTGCTGAGGCACAAGGTTGCCACGCAGGCTTGAACGGGACATTCCTAGGAGCTGTTTTTTGTGTCTCGGCCCAGCCTGAATAACTCCGTGTAATTTGGCCTGGGCCTGGGCTGGATTTGAATTCCAGTTCTGCCAGTTCGTGGCTGGGCAGACCCGAGGGATTAACTCAGTTCCTCTGGATGTCTTGCCTATAAAATGAGGGTCACGGTCTGCACCTCCTGGGACTGAGCACAATTCTCGGTGGTCAGACTCTCATTTTCACGTGTGTCTTGGTAACCAGAGGCCTTTGAACTGCAAACTTGAGTGAGATGGTGTGTTTAACAGAGCTGGTGGTGCAGATGGTAGGCCATCTCCCCTCCAGGTAGAGAGCAACCCTAGCTCCAGGGAGTGAAGCTCCCTGGAGGGCTGGTGGCTTCCTTCTTGTAGGATTGGAGTCTAAACAGCTTGAGAGTAGCAGAAGGTAGAAATATTGGCTCTTTCTGCATCAGAGACACAGGAGTAAGCTCTCGGCTTGCTTAAAAACAACTAGCCCACTATCTTGACATTTGCAGTGTCTTCCTAAGATTCCGTTAGTGCTTTGTTTAACACACACACACACACACACACACACACACACACACACACACACACACACACACACACACACACACTATGTGGGTGTGTGTATGTATATACAGAGATTCAGGAACACAAAGATGAGATTTCCCTCGACTGGATGGCCAGTTCTAACTGGAAGGGGAAGGAGGCTTGGACCTCACTTGGGTCTTTGAGTCATACAATTCCAGGCACATTGGTTCCCAATTTAGAGATTTTCACATATACCCTAATCCAGGGCTGAGTTACTGTCTATGTAGCCTACAGTTTGTGTCAATGGAAATCATTTCCAGCTTATTTGTGTACTGTGAAAGAGAGTGAAAAGAGCATCCATTCCTTCCTTCCTTCATCCATTCAGGGAATGTTTATTGGACATGTTACTGGTGAGGTACCAGAGAAAGCACAAAGCACGGTTTCTTTACCTGCAGACTTTTGAGAGAGGAAGAGATGTTTCTCTCGACCCCTGCCAGCCTCCTAGCTGTGTGTGATTGTATAAATAGCTGGGTTCATGTGCACATTCCTATGTATACAAGACTGAATTGGGGAGTTGTGCTCCTCAGTTAGAAACTTGCAGCGTTCAGGTTAAGTCTGTATTTTTGGCCACCTGTGACACCAGTCAACAGTGCGAGTCTATGTTGCCCAGGGGCTCCCACTCAGGGGTACCTAAGTGTGGAAAATCTGAGCACTGTGCATTTCCAGGCGGTGTTTAGCACAAATGTAGGTGGAGCAGATTTCCAATGAATGAAGGCTATTTAGAAGCGGTTTATTAGATTGGAGGCAAAAATTACACAAAGAGAGGTTTGTTATGCTTGTAACGGGGCAATAGGACATAAATTAACCATTTTCCAACGCAAATGTTTATTTTCTGCCAAGATGTTCAATTTAATTTTATTTCTGGACTGAAAGGGGATGCCTTCAGCATAGCCCTTCATTTTCTTTCTCTCTCTCTCTCTCTTTCTTTCTTTCTTTCTTTCTTTCTTTCTTTCTTTCTTTCTTTTTTGAGCTTTTGAAAACATTGTGTACTTACTGTAAATGCTGTATACTGAGGACAGCTCAATACTTGTCTGTACTGTGCTTATGTTAAAAAAAAAAAAAAACAGCTGGGGAGCGATCTCCATGGTTAAGAGTGGGTACTGGTCTTGTAAAGCAACAGAGTTTAGTCCGCAGCACCCGTGATGAGAGACCTCCCCGACCTGTAACTCCAGACCTGGGGGATCTGATGTATCTGGGCTCCATGGGTACCTGTACTCACATGTCCATACCCCCTCCCCAGAAACACACACATTATTAAAAATAAATATAAAAAAAAACCCTAAAAATAGAAACCACTCAAAAGTCTTCCAAAGACTTCCCTATGAATACCTGAAACAGTGGCAGGCTGTTTATCTGACATGCAGAGAGCCTTTATGCTTAAAAATGTAATTTGTGCCTTTTTCTTTCTATTTTCTTCCTTGTTTATTTTGGGTAGTGATAAGGATTTCTAAACTTATGTCAAAAAAATATCCTGCCCATTTTCTAGAAGTTGCTTCCAATGAAAAACTACAGATTCTTTGCAATGTGCTGAAGAGTCCTATCCTGTAACTTGGCAAGCAGTGTAACCATAAAATCTACTGGTATTGTGTAATAGTGATTTGAAAGCTGCCACTTTTCCGGGGACAGAAAATAAGAGCAGCCTTTTGCATTTTTTTCCCTCTGCACCATTTTAAATTACAAATATTTAATTGGCTCAAGACCAAAAGCTCCTCACAGTTGGCACACAAGGGAAGCTGACCACCTCGCTAGCAAGGACACCTTCCATAAAGCAAAAGAAAATAAATGGAGAGCACAAACGTGAAATTTAATAGCTGCTCCAACAGTAATTGACGTTCTGGAAAAACGTCACTAAGAAAATACCCCGTGTGTGCATCAAAGTCTCATTGGTTCCATATGCATGCCGCTGGAAGATTTTTATATTTAGTTCTGGAATTTCCCTCCCCTGTGCCCCTCTGCCAGACGCTCTGCGCTAATCCCCTATTTACACATTTAGGCTGACGCTGGGCAAGCCCCTGGGGGAAGGTTGCTTCGGGCAAGTAGTCATGGCTGAAGCAGTGGGAATCGATAAAGACAAACCCAAGGAGGCCGTCACCGTGGCAGTGAAGATGTTGAAAGGTGAGTGGGTGGATGGGAGGGCAGGGAGGGCCTTATCGAGAGTGTTCCTTTTGTGACATGTGAACTCTGCAGTGATGTGGGGTCAAAGAGCACATACTTGACCTCGTGGTTGAAGGGGTTTCAGGATAAATGAGCATCTGAGACAGAGGATTTACCTTGAGCTCTGTGTGCTTAGAAAAGAAAAGCCAGTTTAGGAGCAAGTGGAAGCTTGCTGGGCCCAGTTATTCTGACTGACTCTTAATAAGAGGTCCTGATTGATTCGCCTCTCCTGGTTATTCATGGGCTTAGGAAGTTTCGGGGTTTGGGTGGGAATGTTGATATGGTTTGATACGGTAAATTCGGGACCCAAACTTTAACATGCAAATAAGGAGAGGTAGGTATTGGAGTGGGAAGGAGGAGGGCAAGGAAACAGAAAGCCACATTCTGTCTGCCAAAATGTGGATCTCAAGAGTCACTTAGAAGCCAAAGAGGAAGGACTGGGGCTGATGCAGAATATCAGGGACATGTAAGTAATCACCCCAGGATATGTAAATGTCCTTTTATTTTTTATTTTTTATTTTTTTTTTGGTGGGAGTCTGAATGTTTGCATACAACCTTTCCAACCCAGCTTGATGCCCAAGGAACTTAAATTACTTTTTACTGTTAACTTATCCTTGCATGGTATTCTTTTATATGAACAGTTAAAAGGAAAGGTCACATTATATATCCTGTTGTGGGAATCTCAGAAAGATTTCGTGCCCAGTGTTTCCCCAGCTTGTCGGCAGAGAGGTCTGTCCTGTAAGTGTAGATGTTGCACATGCTCAGGAGTTAGGCCATTTTTTTTCTTTAGCAGGATGCTTACCACATCCCTCACTGCTGAGAACATGAAGACAAGAAAGGGCCGGAACACCATTCATTCATTTTGTCTTCTTAGCTATTGACCTGAGATTCCCAGGGAACTCGGATGGTCCTTGCTGTGGAGGTTGATACCACAGAGAAGATAGCAAGTATCTGGGTAGCAGGGCAGAGGCAGCCCCTGGTACCTGCTGGGAACTGGGGTAGGGAGGACCAGGCATCATACAGTTTTCTATAGGACTCCTGGTTTTTAGATCCCTGGGGCTGCTGTAAAAAGGAAGGTTTAGGGGTTGGCCCTCTTCTTTAAGCACAATTGTCCACTATCCTTTTAATCATGGTGGGAGGACATTACCCCCAAAGCCTTCTCAGATTCTTTGTGACAACCAGAGTATGGCTAAAGTCTAGGGAAGGCAGCATGCTCAACTATGTGTCTACTGAGTGCTTTCTTCCCACCTCCCTTCCCTCTTCTCCACATAGGTGAGGATAGATCCATGCCCCTATTTCATTTTTTAAGCTGGATTCAGCCCTTATCTTTTTCTTTTAGCTCAGATTTTTTTTTTTTTTTTCTGTATTGAATTAGCTCAGTGGTAGACTGCCTGAGTGGCATGCACGTGGCACTGGGTTTGAGCCCTAGCACTACACAGGACAAAATGACAGCTGAGGAATGAGCTTTAAGGAGGGCACACTGGAAAGGGTCTTAGCACTTATTAGAAGCTGTGAGCCCGTGTGTGTTGGGCTTCTGCCATGCGTGTGAGATGTGACTTGTACTTCTCTTTTAGGGTGGTAATTGGGAGCTATTGAGAAGGCGTTTTGCTCACTCAGACTATTTCTGTATGCATACACATTTACAGATGCACTTCTGGCCTACTTCCTGGGCCTAACTTATAAAAAGCTAAAGGTTATGTTCGGAATTTTTGCTCTGTAAAAACAAATTTTATAGTGATTCCCAATGTTCCTCCTAGGGTTTCCTCCCTATCGCTCTTGGAGTTGTTGGGGGGCATCAGGAAGTTTGGTGTGTTCTGGAAGGTATCTTAGATACATCACAGGATGGGGTTAGTTCACGATCAAGAACTTTGCTGTAAAAGACTTGGCCTTAGTGTTGGGGGCGTAGATTTGGTCCCAGCTCTGACCATGTGACCTCTTTGATAGAGCATGACACTCCCTGCCTCAGCTTTTATCTCCTCACTGATTAGATGGGAATATGTTTCCGGTTCTAAAATTCAGCTCCATGGTGTTCTAAGAGTTTGATGGTTAAGAGTGACAGACAGCCTGGGAGTTGGGAGAAACCAACTGACTTATGATTCACCTATTTCATGTTCCTAGATGATGCCACAGAGAAGGACCTTTCTGATCTGGTGTCAGAGATGGAGATGATGAAGATGATTGGCAAACATAAGAACATCATCAACCTCTTGGGCGCCTGCACCCAGGATGGTGAGTTAGGAGGAGGGGGTGTGTTCTGTTCACACACTGCACTGCTGGCCAGCAGACTTCATCTAGAAACAACGGTGCTGTCGGGTTTCTGCTCTTAGGGCTTCTCAAGACCGTATATTCCCATCAGACATGTAGTGCACACCTATCCCAGCACCCAAGAGGCTGAAACAGGGGGATCACAAGTTGACACCAGCCTGGGGTACATAATAAGACTGTCTCAAAAAATACAGAAAAGTAGAGTCTGGAGAGATAGCTCAGTCAATAGAGGGCTGGCCTTGCAAGCATGAGGACCTGTCAAATCCGTATTTAAGTTGAGTTTTTGTGATCCTAGCACTGGGGAGGTGGAGAAAGGTGGATCCCAGGACTTACTGGACCCCGAGCTTAGCCTTCTCGGTGAGCTTCTGGTCAGTGAGAGGCCCTGTCTAAAACACAAGGCTGTCCTCTGGCTGCCACAGATAAACACACGTACCTGCTTGTGTCCTCACGTATACAAATACAAACAAATGTATGCATACATACATACACACATTTTTTTTTAAAAGTCACTTTTATTCTACCCTTGGGAAAATGTTACCAGCCTCAGATGCACAGCAGGTCTGTGGCTGCCCTTGGGGGTCATGGGAAGTTGGCATGGGGGCTGTTTTGGAAAAGGCTTTCTTCTGATGCTTTTGTTGTGTGAGGGGCCAAGAGAGATATCTTAAAATAAGGCCAGTATGTTTTGCTTGAGAAGTTCTTCCCTTAAAATGGGGACTGAGGAATCCTGTCTTGCTGTAGGTAGCAGATGGCTGAGCTCTCAAGAATAGCTTTACAGAGAGAAAGTGGAAGGAAAGAGCAATCTCCCTCAGGGGGAACGATTCCCTGGGTGCTCTCAGGAGTGCCGACAGGCGCTTTAGAAATCAACCTGACAGTAATTGGGAGACTTGAAAAATGCTTGTGCGGCTCCTTTAAGGTGTGCGGGGATTGGAACCTTCTTCTCCAAAGGGCAACTGTAGATATTTTAGACCTTTGGTCTTTGCTACAAACACTCATCACTACCATCATATTGGAAAAACAGCCTTTATGATACAGATGTGAATGGGCATGGCTGTGGGACAATAAAATATGATGACTCAGACTGGTATTGGGCAGGATGTGGCCCGGGGACCATTCTTTCCAGCCCTGGAGTCGACAGCATGCTCTGGCTGTTTGAGCCATCTAAATTCTCATCTTTTATTTCATCCTACAAACTTAGTATTTATTTATATCGATATATATATCGTTACAATATATGTGTACGCATACACACACACATGCACACGCACACACGCGCGCGCACACACACACACACAAGTGGCTCAAGGGAAATGGAAGGGTCAGGCTTCTGATGGTTGTTGCTTTCCCAGGAAGACATAGAGCAGTGGTTCTGAACCTGTGGGTTGCAACCCCTTTGGGAGTCAAATGACCCTTTCATGGGGGTTACATATCAGATAGCCTGCATATCAGATATTTGCATTACAATTCACAGCAGTAGCAAAATCACAGCTAGGAAGTAATTACGAAAACAATTTTGTGGTTGAGGGTCACCACACCATGAGGAACTGAATTAAAGGGTTGCGGCATCAGGAAGGTTGAGAAGCACTGAAGGGCACTGGCCCGAAAGTTACTACAACTCTGTCTTATTTCTTTAAACCTTTGGAAGTTATCATGTTGATCATCACCATTTTGGAAAGATTGGAAATGGAGGTCTTTTTTTATCCATGCCTTTCTCTTGCCAGTGACAGACTACCTATCCAGCACTTACCAAGTGTGTTCAGGGTTCTGGGTTCAATCTTCAAGCACTACAAAACCACAGTGGGTTGAAAATGACCGAAAACTTTGCTGAGTCACCCAAGGGTTGTTCCTGCCTTCACTGCCTTAGGAAACTTCTTTTCTCTGTCACAGGGCCACTCTATGTCATAGTTGAATATGCCTCGAAAGGCAATCTCCGGGAATACCTCCGAGCTCGGAGACCACCTGGCATGGAGTACTCCTATGACATTAACCGAGTTCCTGAGGAGCAGATGACCTTCAAGGACTTAGTGTCCTGCACCTACCAGCTGGCTAGAGGCATGGAGTACTTGGCTTCCCAAAAAGTGAGTCCTTCCCATTCCGCTTGATTGAATGCAAAAGCCAGTTAAGTCTTTGAAGAAGCTGGGCGGTTCAGACATGTTCATTTGCGTGGTCAAGTCCTTGCATGTCTTGTACAACATGGAAAGTATTTGTGGTGTTGTTTATATTCCAGTTTAATGGACTCTTGAATGGCCAGAGCAAACGCATAGCAACTTCAGGAGAATGGGCTCCGTTCCAAGGCAGGGCAGGTGGGGTGCTCCTGGGCTGATGGGCTTCATTCGGAGTGAGCTTGGGGCATAGACTTGGGTGTTAAATTTAGAATGATCAGCCTGATGTGGAATTAAATGATCTGAGAATGGAGATTGAGCACAGGAGTAGTTTTGACATTGAGAGTCTGGGATTTCTGTTTATTTTGTCTCGTTCGGTGATCCTGTGGTCAGAAGTTGGCCAGGTCCCCTGAGGTGAATGGTTGGCATTCCAAGCAAGTCACTCACAATGGAACTCAAAGCATTCCAGTTATTCTGGAAGGTGTTAGGCAGGTGCTCAGAGTTTTCGTGGGTATTTCCGAGGACCTAGGACACCCTTCCTCAATCCCACACAGGGCACAAGGGTGCTGTGTGGGCGGAGATGGGCTGGCTCCTGCCTGGAATGAAGCTGGCTGCATTTCCATCATCCTTAACTCCTCAGGTTGCTAGAGACAAAAAGGATGATCCTCTGGCAAGGCGCTCCTCTGTCATTTGGAGCATGGGTTACTTGAAGGGCCATAAATCTGGATTTCTCCAGATAGTGTCTCGATAGTGTCAAGAGTGAATCAGGTGACCTGTGTCGGAAGGTGCAGGTGGCGGGCACTCTAGGGCTAGATGGTCCTGAGCCCTGCTCTCCATCGCCTGGGAACAATGGCTTAGAGTTATCATGTGCTCTGAGTTTTGCATTGCTTTATTTTATTACTTTTTTCTATTTTCTTTAGAGTTTACAGCTTATAAGTTTTCTTTTTTGTTTTTTTTTTTCTTGTAGCAACTATAAAACCTCCTAACATACAGGTTTCAAGAAGCCAAATTTGAGCAGTTTTGAGTGTTCTGATTTTGTACATGTGTATGTGCACATGGTGGGGAGGGGGTTGCCCTCAAGAAAATCTTTGGCATCAAGAAACAGACAGACAGAAATAAAATGTGAGACATTTGACAAGATACCACTTTAGATTATCTGTGTCATGCCTGTTTAAAAAATACTGGGAGAGCTGGGGATGCAGTAGAATGTTACTGCCCAGCATGCATGAAGCCCCGGGTTCTATCCCCAGCATTACATAAACCATGCATGGTGCTACAGACCCATAGTCCCAGCTCTCAGGAGACTAGAAATTCAGGGTCATCTTCAGCTAAGTATCGGGTTTGAAGCCAGCCTGGAAGACACGAAATACAGAGACAGAGAGACAGACACACAGGCAGAGACAGAAAGATAGATTTGATTAAAGAGGCTAAGAGATAAAACAGCCCAATGCAGAAGTGTGACAATCCTAGGCTGGCTCTTTGGAGTGGGAGGTGAAGGCCAGATCTTACTGTTAGGGATTGATCCTTGAACATGGACTGTATCTTATGTAACACTACTATGTTCAAGTTGGGTTTGGACTGGGGTAACCATGGCATTGTGTTAAGATGGGGGATGCATAGTTGGGATATCTCTTACCCCAAATTCTTTTTTTTTTTTTTTTTTGGTTTTTCGAGACAGGGTTTCTCTGTGTAGCTTTGCGCCTCTCCTGGAACTCACTTGGTAGCCCAGGCTGGCCTCGAACTCACAGAGATCCGCCTGGCTCTGCCTCCCGAGTGCTGGGATTAAAGGCGTGCGCCACCACCGCCCGGCCCCAAATTCTTAAAAACACCAGAGTTAGAGTTCTAGGGTGAGTTTTTGTAATATTTGCCTGTGCATAACGAGACATGACCTAAATGAAACCCAAGTCTGTTAAAATCAACTGTTTTCTATGAACTATATTCACATAGCCAGAGGGTACCTTTACATAGTATTTTTAATGATTTTATACATAAAACAAAGTTTTGTGGTCTGGAATTTTCCACTCATGGCATCCCGTCAACACTGCGATGGTTTGGATTTTTGGATTAGGAAATGTTGAGGAACCAAGATGTGAAGTAACTGTGATGCTTGCAGCTCACTTCTAAAGGGATCAGCAGTGAAAACAAGCAGATTGTGTGCTTATGCACGGGTGCGTGTGTATGCGTATGGAGTTGTACATGTGTGCATTTGTGTGTGTATATGTGTGCATGCATGTATGTGCCTATAGGTATATGTATATGCCTGTACGCGTGGGTATGTGTGTTTGTTTTTGGTATGTGTAGGCTGCACACAGAGTAACTGAATGAACATTATAAACAAATCTGGCCAACGTGGACAGCCATGGCACTATGTCACCGTGAAATGTTTGAATTATTTCCCATGGAAGCCTGGGCCAGGCAGTCAGCCATAGGCAGCCTGTTAACTTCTCTAGGCTTGGTCGCTGCTGGAAGTCCTCCTTGGTGGGAGATGGGGGAAGTGTTTGTATGCAGTATGGCTTGCAGCTGATGCAGAAGTGGTAGGAGAACCACCTCTTCATTTTCTTCAGTCCCCAGGATTCCCCAGATGACTGTTCTCTGGGTTGGAATGTCCAGTGGGGTGGCCAAACAGATGTCATTCTTGATTTCTTGAAACAAGAGTTATGAGTAACAGTAGGAAAAAAAAATGCCAGTAAATGTGAAATAAAAGTAAGTACATAAACAGCTAGAAACATTGTGATAAAGCCCTACTCATTCAGGGCCTTGCAGTGCCAGGCAGGGCCCCTGGCCTTGGCTCTTGGGCTGTGCAGAGCGATCAAGGGTGACTATTGGGGCCAGGTGTGTGCTTTATAGTTTGCCCTTGTATGGCGCATGTATGGAAATACCGAGTTCCTCTTTGGGCCAAACTTTTATCAGGTCCTAAGACACTGAAAAGAATTTGGTAGTTGGAATTTGGGCACATTTTACTGTCGTCATGTAGTGGGATGATTAGGTGAGGGGAAGCAGGGTGATCAAAGACAACTCTTGATGTCCAGCTTGAGAGACTGAATGGTAGTGTAGCTTCCCAACATGAGGAAGACCTGGGAGCCAGGAGGCGGGACAGGAAGTAATTTCAGTAGAAAATGCAGAGCTCACGTTGGAGAGCTGGTTAAGGGAAGGTGTCAGCCAACAAGCCATAGACTGGAGCTCAGCCCTGAGGCCGGCACATCATGAGGAGAGGAGACCAAAGGGTGTGACTTCGATTATGGTGGTGAACTGGGGGGAAGCGGAGATGAGGGAGGCTGAGAGGCCAGGATGCCACTCTTGGGCACCACAAAAAGGGTTTCTGGGCTGAAGTTGAGGTCAGCTATGTATCCCTGTTCAGAGTCGGGAGGAACATGCAGTTCCGTGTGATCACAGAATTAGTGGAAGTTCCGCACTGCCCCCGTATTGTGGACTTGAGGTTTCTTGGTTTGCAGCCGCTAGGTAGAGTGGAGCAAGGGCTGTCCCATGAACTTTGCAAAGGGGAGTGAGTGCGTTTGGGGGTTGCAGAAGCAGTGGGGAGTAGGATTGTCCTCACAAATAATATGGTGACCATTATAGTTATTCTTATTCCTAATTGCCAGCTACCGCTTGAGAGTCTATGTCGCCTGACACAGCGCGGCAAGCATCCGACAACAAGTGCATCATGGGTACTTAAGGTCATCCACCATAGATAGGCTAGGATCCCTTTATGGAGGAGAGTGCCAGGGATAGCTAGGGCATGATGGGGATGCTTTGCACCCAGGTAGACAAAATCGCTGTCTTCTCTTCTGTGGTAAGACCTATATGTTCATGGGGTTAAAGGGGGAAGGACTGGTTCCAGACATGGGTCCCCTGGACCTCTGCCCAGGCACACTCTGACCTCAGTGCTTTCCTGATTCTCTCCAGATCCGGGCAGATCAATAGAGTCCCTGCCCCCAGCTGTGGTTAGTCACACTATGTGGCTGTCTCCATCAGTTTGCAGAAGAGCCCAGGGTAAATGATTCTAAGTGCGTTTCTGGTTAGCTGTGTTGTCCTAACATCTCTTGTTCATGCCCATCTGCAGTGAAGGTTCTGCAGAGGTATGCGAGGGCGCTGGATGAAGATCTTAAGAATGCTTCCCTTAGGGGGCATCACTTCTAGAAATGAAGAGCAAGTTCTAGAACGTGAAAGATGAGGAAGTGGGGGAGTGGTGGGCCTCAGAGGTGCAGTTTGTAGAAGGTGAGAAAGAACTGCTGGTGCCCCAGAGCTCTGAAAACAACCCAGAGGACAGCTCTGAGAGTATTCAGATGAGACACTGTGCCTGACCTCAGGCCACTGACATTTCTGTGTGAGTAGGAGGTGGAGCCAGCCAAGGAAAGAGACAGTATGGCACATATAGTAAACTAGATAGCAATGGGGGTATTTTTGCCTTAAAGTGCTTATAAAAATCCTTGCTATTTCTAGTTCAAGGATATTCATTTTATTTAAAAGCAAGCTCCACATCCCTACCTAGGACACTCATCTCATAGGTCACCATGAGAATTAGGTAAGATGACATGTGGACCAGCTCCCTGTCTTCATCACAGGGGTGTTTGGACTTCCTTTCCTTAAGAACCTGTGGGGAAACTTCCCTAGGGCCTACATTCTGTAGACAGTAAGTACTCTAGGCCGGAGAACAACTCAGACCTCTGTGTGCGGTAGGATTTGGGGATTTGGCTTGCCTTTTGCTATTTTCTTCTTGAGCACTGGTTCCCGGTCTTCTGTTTAGCCCTTGGTGTTTATTTCCTGGGATACAGAATGAGCAAGATGGTAGCAGTAGCCTGTGGCAGCCTCTCTGTCCCTGTTGAGCCTCGATGTGTGGTCGGAGCCCCCTGCAAGGAAAGCCAGATTCTTCTGACCACTCGGCTTGCCAAACAGAGAGAACACATGTCAGCAGGAGCACACACACCACCAGGGGAACTTGGCCGGGGCCTTGGAAGTTGAATTTGAAGAGGCCTCCAAACCGGCAATGTGCTCCAGCCCAGGCAGAGCTGCAGGCAGCCCTGGGAGCACTCACATTTCCCACTCCAAGGCTGGCCGGGGACATGCAGACTTGGGTGGCTTGCTGCTACCTCATCTCTCATCTTGGCCCACCCACACATGCAAGTGAACACAGGGGATGCTCGGGCGTGGGTGAGGGCAAAGCTAAAATTCCTTATTCATGTTTCAGAAGCAGTTAGGCTAGTTCCATTTTTATGTGGTCATTTCATGGAGCGCTTACAATAGGTCATTCCCAGTTCGCTCAGCCAGTGGATGAAGTCTCTCTGCTTCGGGTGATCATTAACCTTGATTCGTAACCTATATAAAGGTGTTTGAGGGTGGTGCTTGCTTCTTTGTACCACATCTCTTCTAAAAATAGAGGTGGGTGATCCGGGGTCCTATTTACCGTGTATCTTAATGAAATCAGAGACTGTTAAAGTACGGCTGAAACACAATAGTTGTGGATGGCCTGGCCTTCGTAAATAATAGTGACCAAACCTTCCTGAGACTGGTTACTGTTGAGACAGTGCACCCTCCCATCAGATGTATCATAACAAGCAGAGACGTACCAGGTCCTGATGTATGCGCAGACACAGTTTAGCCCCTGCACAGGCTGGGCATTGTTAACAGACTGCACTGAGAATATGGATAGATGGACATTGGCTGGGCAGTGAGCCAGGAAAGGACATGCTGGACTGTGTCTGAAGCACATGGTGTATGCGGCACAAAAGGGGAATCCAGAAAGCCTTTGGGCAGTTAGCATAGCAGTCCACGGGGGTAGGGGAGGGCAGTGACTGCAACCTGGCCTAAGGGATGAGCTGTGGAGGACAGACTTTGGAGACATCTTAGAGCTGGAATGATCAGGCCTTGAGTGTAGAATATGGACCTTTCTGTGTAAGGACCAAACAGGATAGGAGTCAGGGAAGTAGGAATGTTGACTTTGAGATGTCAAGAGGGTATTACTGACTGTGGAAATGTCCCAGAATGACTTGACAGTGAATCCTCCAGTCTCCGCAGAGGCCGGGATGGAGGTAGAGGTTTGTAACTGCTTTGTGTATCTGAGAATTGATGCCCCAAGGATAGAAGAAACACAAACAGCTTGTAGCAGTTTCTTTGCTTTGGAGGGACAGGGGGAAAGGAGAGTCAGCCCAAGGGTCTGCTAGAGAGTGAAGCAAGGGGAAAGGGGGCGGGGGCTGCAGGAAAGGCATCATTTCTAGAAACAGACATCTACAGTGTCCATCTGCAGAGAGGGAAAACGTGCAGGTCTTAGAAGAGGCCAGTTGGGTCTAACTGAGGGCCGACCTCATACAGCCTGGAGGCAAGGGTGGGAAAGACAGACAGCACTCAGGGAAGGAAGGACAGAAATGACAGAACTAGACCTTGCGGAGAGCCAGTGTTTGTAGGACCTGAGGTCACATTGTTAGAGAAGTGACAGGGATGAAGAAGACAGGTGGAGTTGAACCCAGTCATCTGAAAGTTGGGCTTTTGCCTACTCGAGAGAGCAAGTGTTGAACTCCAGGATTTTTGAGTGGTATCTGATGTCCAGTTTGTGTGAAACTGTAAGAGACACACTGATGTTGTGGAGCACTTGCAGATAAAAGAGAATGTGGTGATGTAATCAGCCTTTCCTGACTAAGATGACCAGGGCCTTTGTTTGTTTATTTAAATTAGGATGAGTGATTATCATGAGGTTTGGGGCTCTTGATGACACTAGTCAGCTTGTTGACTTTACAGCCCAGTGTGGCTCTTAAAGTATTCTGCACCCAGTTTTTGACTTGGGATGTGTTTTCTGTCTTGCATTTTTTTAAAGAGTCTATTTTTCTTTTGATTCCTAAAACACATAGGGATTATTTCTCTCTCTTCTTCCTTGATTACAGTGTATCCATCGAGATTTGGCAGCCAGAAACGTGTTGGTGACAGAGAACAATGTGATGAAGATAGCAGACTTTGGCCTGGCCAGGGATATCAACAACATAGACTATTACAAAAAGACCACAAATGTGAGTGCGTGACGTCACACTGGGGGGTGGGGCCAGGAAGGTTACAGGATGACGCATGTTTATCAGTGGGAGAGCCGTGGGGGCTTCCCTCCTCCATACTTCATTCGGTGGTTTTTGCTTAACTCTCCATCACCCAATTTAGGCGACATCTGAGATAGGTTTAGTATATATGGAGCACTCTTTTTTTACAGAATAACAATCAGTCTCCGGGGCTTTGTAATGGCTCTCTTAGGAACCTTCATAATTGGGGGATGGCGAGATGGCTCAGCTCTTAAAGCAAGGACTAGAGCTTGGAAGTGTGCTGGCTTCAATTCTGACTCAGAGGATGTTGGGGTATAGCTGTGTGCTAGGGAGACAGATGATAATGAGAATGCAAAGAAACTTGGACACTATGCATCTTAGCCATTATTTACAGAGCTGGTTGGAGCTTATTTCTACCCGTAGTGGTAAACTGATGAAACCCATTAGAAACCCATCTCTTCCCTCAGAGGGTAAGGTAGATAGATACCTGGGAGTGGTGTATTAGGGGAACATGGGCTGCCTACCACTGGGTGCTAGATGGGTGCTCAGGTTTGGAGCCCAAATTCAAGACAGGTTGGAGGAGGGAAATGAAGAAAAGACAGGGACCTAAATCTACTTTTCAGACCTGGTTCTTGGAACCAGCCAGGAAGTCCTGACTTGATCTGAGACTTTTTTTTTTTAATTTTTATAGACAAGCAAACAGAGGTCCTGTGCATGTCACCACAGTAATTTCCTCCACATACCACCAAATGCACAGACTTGTCTCCCTCCACACATGTGGGAAGGTCTTGCAAGACCTAACCAATCAGTATAGTTCTTAAATCATTTATTTTAAATTTTGACAGCATTAGAAAGCCAGGTGTGGGAGCTCAAAAGCTGAGGCAGGAGGACTGCCAAGAGTTTGAGCCTACCCTGGGTTAATTGTAAGTTGTGGGCCTGCCTGGGCTGCAAAAATGAATCAGTATTCTGACATAGCATGTGGCCCTGTTGGGCCTTCTGTAGTACTCTTGTAAAACCTAGGGGTTTCTACATTTTCTTACAGGGGCGACTTCCAGTCAAGTGGATGGCTCCTGAAGCCCTTTTTGATAGAGTTTACACCCATCAGAGTGACGTGTAAGTAACATCTGTCCTTGGCTTCTATATGGGTTGAGTTGTAGAACTACTTAGGTTCTACATGTTCGTAGAGGGCATAGGAGTCAGGGGTCTCAGATGGCATCATGAGTTTGTGGTAGATTGGTACCCAGTGTTTGGTTACTGATCTGCCTACCTTTGGGAGGTGGGGACGCCATCCTCCTGCCACAGTGGCAGCACCCTGCACCCATCACAGATGCCAGATGCTCACTCACCATACTCGGTCTCATTTGTCAAGTGGGTGGCATGCTCTGCACTCCCATAAAGAAACACTCTTGGCTGGGCCTGGGAGTGTACGTGTTCGTCCTAGCACTCAGAAGGATCGCAAGTTCAAGACCAACCTGGACTACATGTAGCAAGCTCAAGGCCAGCCAGGGATATGTAGTGTGAACCTATCTTTATAAAAATTAGAGGGGTTGGGGATTTAGCTCAGTGGTAGAGTGCTTGCCTAGCAAGCGCAAGGCCCTGGGTTGGGTCCTCAGCTTTGAAAAGAAAAAAAAAAAAAAGACAAAATAACAAAAAGCCTATAAAAATTAGAAAAGAGAGAAGACCCTGAAGTCCTTCCTAGTTAGGTGTCTGGGATTGTTCTTTAGCCCGGGCTTGTCCTTAAAGGTCAGTGCTGAATGAGGCGTGGTCAGTTTGGATGATCACCACATCTGCTTGCTGTGGTTATTATAAATTTTTCAGTCTTGTCTTAGCCTCTGATGATGTTCTAGAAATACAGTAGAAATTACATAATATTTCTCTGATGACTCATTTAAACTACTGTTAGAGCTAGGTTCCAACTGATATTGTAGATTGGGAAATTTAGCTAAAAGATGTTACTAGAAGAAACTGGATAAAAGATGCTTTTTTTTTTTTTTTTTTTTTTTTGCAAGTTCCTATGGGTCTGTAGGTATTCCAAAGGACGAAGGTTTTGTATTGTTTTGTTTTTAATTTGGAAGTTTTTTTTTTGGGGGGGGGAGGTTTCTGATGTGGGTTATTGATTCTGCCCCAGCATGCTGGGTCCCGGCAGCCTTCCTAGGAGGGAGTCACAGTTTTTGCTTGTACATAAATATACTGAGGCTCTGAACTGTTTTTGCCTATATTGTGGTCCCTGCTTATGCTTAGTAGAAAACCAGGGACAGTTTCAGTGTTGCATGAGTGTCGTCCAGAACTGCAGGACACAAGTAACCTACAATTCTCTGCTTAATTTTCTCTTAGTCTTGAGTCCACCAAACTAGGTTGGGGAAATCCAAATGTACCTCTCTGAGAAGTTGCATAAAAACAGCACCCTGCGAGGTCTTCTCACTTTCTGCTGGATGAGCCTCTTCTTCTGGGGCGTGAAATTCTTCCACACTAATCCCAGCCCTGGGCTGGCTCCCTCCGCATCACACGAAGTCACAGAATCTTTGCCCTGCGGGTGCTCCACCAGCCATCTAGGGCAGGCATCCCCTCACAGAGTCAGCTTTCTGGCCTTATTCTGTCATCTGTAGATCCAGGTCTGTGGCAGCCACCAGGGAGATGGGTGATTTAGCCAGAAGAAGCCTGAAGGCGAGGAGTCTAGACCTCCCACATTAGTTCGCGCCACATAAAAGACAAAGAACTTCATGAGACAGTGGTGTGGCTCTTTGTCAATTAGTGGAAAATTCCATCAGACCATCCGCATGTCGTCCTCATTGAGGGAGGCTCCTGAGGGGTCAGGAAAGGGCATGTAGGATGGATTGCGGGAGGGCTCATTTATCTATGGATGTTAGAAGTGAGTGGGTGTTTATTTTTTTAACTGACATGTTTAGGTTTCTGCGATCTGGGCACATTACTAATGCTGTGTTTTTTTTCTTTGCAGCTGGTCTTTTGGGGTGTTAATGTGGGAGATCTTCACTTTAGGGGGCTCGCCCTACCCAGGGATTCCGTGGAGGAACTTTTTAAGCTGCTCAAGGAGGGACACAGGATGGACAAGCCCGCCAACTGCACCAATGAGCTGTAAGGGCTGAGGCCGCCCTGCTGACAATGTTGTAGTCTCACCACATCTGCCCTGTTTCTCCAGACACGTCTTGGGTTCCTCAGGCCCCCATTTTCTAAACATGTTCTAAGGAGAACTGTTGAGACTGTCTGGGCTCACTCCCAGTACTGAGATAGAAAGATCCACAGACAACTATGGCTTGTCCTAAAGAAAGGCATCTTGCCAAAGTGTATGGAGTGGGCCTTCAGTCTGGATACCCGTGGGAAGGAGTGTGCTGTGCCACACAGTGACATGAACACCCGTAGGTCAGATACCAAGCAGAAATGCCACAGGGCTGCTCCTGTGGAATGTATAAGGTTGTTCACGGTGCCAACAATGCCAAGTAGGAAATGGGCTCTTTCCATTAATCACTGATCGGTTGTCATGACAACTAGGCACAGTGGCTCGCACCTGTAATCCCAGTACTCTGGAGGCTGGAGCAGGAAGATTCCCACAAGGTTGAGGTCAGCCTGGGCTACAGAATGAGACCCTTTCTCGATAAAATAAAATGAAAATAAGTTAATTTTTTAAAAAAGTGATGGGGACATTTGGGAAAGTGCTTACCACACAAGCATGAGGACCTGAGTTCATTCCCAACACCCACACAAAAGTCTGGGCACAGTGGTGTGTGCACTTGTAATCCCACAGACTGCAGAGGTGGAGCCAGGAAGATCCGTGGGGCTTGCCAGCCAGCCTGCCAGCCTAAAACAGCAAACCTCAGGTCTCAGTGAGGGACCCTATCTCAAAGAATAAAGTAGATGGTTTCTGAAGAACAATACCCATGGTTGACCTCCAAATGTGCACACATGCATACACACACACACACACAGAGGAAAAGGAAGTTGCTATTACATTAACCACACTAACTCTGATGGAATGGACTAGTGTGTTTGGCTACCCGTATTTTCAAGCAGAGAACCCAAAGTTTATCCTGGTGCCATCTGGTGCCATCGTGAGGGTCCCGTTTCTGCTTATGAAAGTGTGAGCTGGTTTCTAGGAACGCCTTCCTCACACTGTAGGTGAAATTGTGTTGTGTTAATGACGCGTGCCTTGTGCAGTGAGGTGCCCCCCCTCCTCTGGGGCAAACTAAGAAAGTGATTGTCCCAGAGACTGCCTTCTATTGTGTGCTCCTTCATGGGGATTTCAGAGCAGTAATCCCAAGGAGCACTCTCGGGTGCGCAGTGGAGAGCTGATGAATGGCCACTTTTTATAGCGTATTATATAAAGGCATTTATTGTGTGCCTTGTGTTCCTGTTGCTTTTTCTAACATAGAGGGTCTGTCGAAACTGATAATCAAGATAAGGTGGGAAGCTTGGACGATCTAAGAGTTAATCAGGAAGTTAGCTCAAAGCTCCGAGGTGGCAGATTAGTTTGCATAAACCTTCTAATTGTGGTTACTGAGTACATATAGTTTTTTTGAACTGAGGAACTTTTGTCAACAGACCTTTAAACAAAAAAACAAAAAAACCTGAAGTGTAGTTCAGGCAGGAGTGTTTGGAGGGAGAGGAGAGTACAGCTCTGTCTCTTCCATTCTCTAGAGGTGGCTGAAAAGTGTGACATCATGGTGGCTCACAGAGGTCAGAGAGGTAGTAGCAAAACACATAGATGCCCCTTTTGGACGCAGAGTCGCTCCCCTAAAGTGTTCTGGGTTGCAGAGAAGTTGCTGTAATGTTAGTGCTTCTGTAGTTACAGTTCATTATTTCGGGCATGTCTCCCTGCCACCTGTTCAGACCATCCACATCTGTGTATCAAGTGCTTAATGCCATCAATTCACCAGAGAAATCCTTTTTCCTAGGTATATGATGATGAGGGACTGTTGGCATGCTGTACCCTCACAGAGACCCACATTCAAGCAGTTGGTGGAAGACTTGGATCGGATTCTAACTCTCACAACCAACGAGGTAAAAGCCTCCTTCCAGAAGCCTGGAGACCCTGCTTGGCTCAGGAGATGCCTGTTTGTTAAATGCAAGCTCCCTTGTTGGAGTCGGTGGCTTGTGTGTGTGTGTGTGTGTGTGTGTAGGGGGTCAAGCAGAGTTAAACTGTGTGTTCCTTTCCAGTTGGGTTTTTTTTTTTTCCTCAGAACTGAGTTTTGAGAATTCTGACTCATGAGGCTGGAGGATGAGGCTCTCCTGAGTTGTCTTAATGGCAACTGGTGGTGGTGTGTGTGTGTGTGTGTGTAGAAAGAGAGAGGAAGAAGTGGAAATGTTTGGTGGTAGTATTTTGGTGTGCATGGGAAGGTACTGGCATGTAACGTGAGCCCTGGATTCTGTGTCCTGGTAGTTAGTGTGAATGCTGCTTGTGCTCGGGGGCTGAGCAGCTTGGTGAAAGGCAGTGAGATTCTATCGTTTCCATGTGGTACTGCCCTATGTGAGCCTATCTGGAAAGACATGTGGCTTGGATCTTTCTGTGTGACACATGTGTCACACATATCATGTATGAGTTATGTAGTTCTGTTATGAGTGACTTACAGGATTTTTAAGTTGACAGTTGGAGCCTATAGTTAAAATATTTATCCTAGGAGTGGAGTTGGGGGGTAGGTAGCTAGTTGTTGCTAGAGTGATGGCCACACAAGTGTGGCACTCACCCCGAAAGCCTGGTGTGATGGTGTTCTCTTGTAATCCCAGCGCTGGGGAGGTAGAGACGGGTGGATCCCTGGGACTCAGTGGCCAGCTAATCTAACCTCTTGGGCAAACTCCAACAAGATATACTGTCTCATAAAACAAGGCCTCCATATGCGCGTAAACTCACACACATGCAAATACACACAGAATATTTTCAGTTTTTGTACTTATAATTTATGCCAACCAAAGATACCATTTTCTGTTACTCTTTGCCTAAATACAGCCATGTCTCTGACTTCAACATAAACCAAGTGACTGTTAGGGTTTTAGAAAGAGTATTCTACAAGCAAAAAAGCTGATAGACCCACACAGTCCAGGGAAACCCTCTGCTAGAAATTGTAAACAAATTTTGAGATATTCCCTGAATGTGTCAAGCAATATTCCCTCATGAAAAAAAAAAAAGAGGTTGATGTAGATTTTACACCTGTAAAAAGTTTTAAAATCTCCCAGATACTTAAAAGGAAAAGAATATAGTTAATTTCTGATTTAAAAAAAAAATAGAGTAATGAGAAGGAAAAACAGTTGAATGTAGAGATGTAAAGCCTTAATGTGGCAACTTTATCTCGTGCTCGTGGCCGGGGCTTGGGCTGGACGAAGAGGGAGCCTGCGTTAAATGAACACAGCTGACCTTCAGAAGTTGAAAGAAAGGAATAGTTGAAGCGGGGAGGAGGGAAAAGCCAACTTTCTTCTCTTGCCAAAATTGTTGTTTCTAGCCTAAGTTCCTTTAACCCTAGGCTTGGAATCCAGTGATATCCCCCCCCCCCCCCCCCCCCCCCCCCCCCCCCCCCGGCCCATCAGATCTGAAAGTTACAACTTCATTTAGAAACTGGGAAGGGCACTAAGGTTTTCATATAATGATCCCAGGTCTGCACTCAATGTTAAGTATTGATATATTTATGTTTAAAGAGGGACCCATTTCGACTGAACTTTATATTCAGATCCTAAAATAAGAGAGCAGAATGCCTTATTGTCTAACGGATATAAAAATCGAAGTTTCTTTCCTTCTTAAAATCATTACCACATGCTCAAGAAAAATGGTTCCGTTTAGGACAAAATTTCATTTTTATCATTGTAAGCAAAAAGTCCTCTTTTGATGTGGTGGGCGTGTTTGTTTCTGGTTGTGTGGTTAATGCTGATGTTGTTGGAGCCGACACATCCCCCTTCTTGGATGGCGACTCTTTCTCTTGCCAACCCTGGTGATGAATTATAGTGGTTTTTGTCTTTTAAACCGTACGGTCGCCAACATTCCATGGACTCTCTGCTGATAACGCTGGGGCAGTTTGTGCTGTAGTCTGCGCTTTTTGCCCCCTCTCAGCAAAACCACACGTCACAGAGGATTGCTGGCTTCTGGGTGTGTAAGCAAAGCCACCTTACTGTGCCAGGGCTGCTAGGCAGTGAGAGTAGGAAGGCCCCTGTTTAGAAATCTTTTCAGGGCTGGGGATGTAACTCAGTTGATAAGAGTGTTTGCTTAGTGTGCACACAGCCCTGGGTTCATCCCCCAGCACTCCATAAACCGAGCATGATTGTGCACACCTGTGGTCCCAGCTCTCGGGGAGGTAGATGCAGGAGGATCAGAAGTTCAAGGGCATCTTCCGCCACACAGCAGGTTGGTGGCCAGCCTGCAATCCTTGATACCCCCGTTTCAAAACATAGAGGAAGGAAGGAAAGAAAAAAAAGGAGACAGACCACACACACACACACACACACACACACACACACAACACACTCACTCACTCACACTGAGAGACAGAGACAGAGAGATACACATTGAGAACAGACAGAGAGAGACAGAGAGACAGAGAGAAATCTTTTCCTAGTTTCCAACCCGGGTTGGCCAGTACTTTCTGTAAGGGCCAGAGTGTAAACATTTTCAGCTTCGAGGCCATATGGTCTCTGTCGAAACTCGGCTGTCCTAGCACGAAAGCAGCCCCAACTCTATGTAAATAAATGAGTGCCTGTCTTCCACTAAAACTTTATGGACTCTGAAATTGGGAAACTTATATCATTTCATATGAATTTATATCATTTCACGTCATTGGTTGCCATAAGATATGCCTCTTAATTTGATTTTTCGACTGCCCATGTACAAATGTTGAGAAGCAGCCTTGTTCATGGGTCAAACAGAAATATACCAGGGCTCTCTCCCTGCCCAGAGCTGGAGGAAGAGGAATTCTGAGTGAGCCAGAGAGACCTCGGCAGTAGTCAGGGATGCTTTGAGGAGTGGAGAAACTTTATGAACTTCACGTTTTCAAGACTAAACCCCCCTTTCCCTAGATTTTTCCTTTAACAGCCCATTATGGATTTAACATTCATGAGGGTATCCAGGCCTTTCCCCAACCTGTTTACGTTGTTAACTCTGAGAGCTTCTGAGAGTAATGAATTACATCTGTTAAATTATGCAACAAATGGAGAAGCCTTCCCCTTAAATGATCCTAGGAACGACAACTGTAGACCGCGATTCAGAAAATACATATTCATGGCCTGGCTATTTAAAGGGGTCCTGTGGTGTTTCTACTTCACTGGGCTTGAAACTCCAACCATGAGCTCTAGTGAGGAGGGCGATCGTAGGTACCCAGGTCCTGCGGGCAGAGCTGACTGCCCAGTACGAGCAGTTCACTGTGTTTTTATTGTCTACTACTTGCTGGTGGTTTATCGGTGTCGCGTTATAAGAGAAGGTTCAGGGCAGCCTGGAGTGGATGAGGTTGAGGTCTCAGGGAGGTCTGTGTGAAGTGGGGGTGAACTGGGCCTTGGGGGGGTGGGTTCCCTGTCCTTTCCCAAGTCTGCTAGAGATGTCTCGGGAACTTCTGTTTGAAATGAGATTCTTCTCTTCCCTTCTTACAGGACTACTTGGACCTCACTCAGCCTCTCGAACCGTATTCACCTTGTTATCCTGACCCAAGATGAAATAAAAACGTCTCTCTTCCCTTCTTGCAGGAATACTTGGACCTCACTCAGCCTCTCGAACAGTATTCTCCTAGTTATCCCGACACAAGGAGTTCTTGTTCTTCAGGGGACGATTCTGTGTTTTCTCCAGACCCCATGCCTTATGAACCCTGCCTGCCTCAGTATCCACACATAAACGGCAGTGTTAAAACATGAGCGAATGTGTCTTCCTGTCCCCACATGGGACAGCACCAGGAACCTACTGACACTGAGCAGAGAGGCTGTGCCTCCGGAGCGTGTGACACACCTCCCCTTGTACATATGGATCAAAGAAGAAGTAAATAATGGGAAGCATATTTGGCACATGTGTAAAGATTTATACGGTTGGAAACATGTCACCTTCCCAGGAGAGGACGAGTATTTCCTGATAAGTGGACAGTCGCAAGCCACCACGCCATCCTCTCCCCCACCGTGTGTACTGGGGTGCACCCCAGTAGGACTCGAGGCAGACACGTGTTCTGCCTTCCCTTGTTAATTTTGTAATAATTGGAGAAAATATATGTCAGCACATACTTACAGAGCACAAATGCAGTATATAGGTGCTGGATGTATGTAAATATATTCAAATTATGTATAAATATATATTATATATTTACAAGGAATTATTTTTTGTATTGATTTTAAATGGATGTCCTGATGCACCTAGAAAATTGGTCTCTCTTTTTTTAAATAGATATTTGCTAAATGCTGTTCTTAGAATTTCTTAATTTTCACCGAGCAGAGGTGGGAAAATACTTTTGCTTTCAGGGAAAATGGTGTCACATTAATTTATTAACCAATTGGTAATATACGAAACGATTAATCATTTATAGGGTGTTTTTTTGTTTTGTAATTTAAGTGACATTTCTATGCAGGCAGCACAGAAGACTAGTTAATCTATGCTTGGACTTAACTGGTTATTGGATCCTTTGAGAAGAGAAATATTTACGATATATGACTAATTTGGGGGGAAATGATGTGTTTGATTTATCTGTATTTCAACTCTGCTGTCCGATGATTATGTTTAGACACCTCACTGCCCACTTACAAGAAACCTGTTAAGCTCTGTCACCCCAGTGTATCATGTAAACAGACGTCCCAAGACAAATGGTACCAGCGTCCTCCTCCCAAGATGCCTTAATCTACTCTCTGGGGACAGACTTCCACTGGAATGATAGCAGGGTGGGTTCTGTCTGGCAGCTGGCCTTCTGCCTGAGTTACACGTCCATCACACTAGCCTCGCTTCTCCTCCGTGAGTTTTGATAACAGTTTCAGGTTCTTCAGCATCAGAAACCCCTTTGGGGCTCTCAGAATATCACAATCTCAGTACTACTCTGCTGGGAATTTGGGAGCTCCTTCTGTCTTAAGGGTTTGCTTCTGGCTTCCGCCTTTGTCAGACAAGACCTCACTGAAAGATCTGGCTTAATCGCTACATCCAACAAGATGGTGGTTATTGTTGATTTCCATATTCAAGGATTGTGTTTGGCTTTGGATACACCCACTCACTTTGCTACAGTTGTGCGAAATGAATGCAGATTACACTGATTTTATGTGTTTTGAAATTGGAGAAAGTATTTAATAAGACCTGTTAATTTTTATACTGACAATAAAAATGTTTCTACAGATATTAATGTTAACAAGACAAAATAAATGTCATGCAGCTTATTTTTTTAATACCTGTGTCTTACCCAATGGTTTCCTGTGCTCGGACAGAGGTGTTGACAGAGTGCTTGGTGGCGTGGATGTGCAAGAGGCAGAGCTGGAAGGCCACACATTGAGGTGACTTAACAGGGTTGCCTGGGAACAGCAGTGCCTGGGACGGATTGATCAGTGGAAAATCAGAAGTTGGTTCAACCCTGGCTAAGTTACTTACCTCAACATTGTTCCTTCCTGGGTCCTTTACACTTCCCAGAGAAGCATCATGGGAGAGACCTTAAAGGTGACTTAAAGATGAGGAGGTGTCAATGACAAGATTTTTAGAACCGTCTAGGCTGTCCTCCTTGTGGTGCGTGGAGAGAGAATTTACTTCCTGCTGCTAAACCTCTGAAGAGAGCGTGTCGCTTGTCTGTGCATGTGGATCTAGGACCTCTAAGGCTCCATTGGAATTGCTTAGGAGCAGCTGCTTCACTGGAATTGTAGCCGTGTGGGGTTGAGGGTCACTCAATAGTGCTGTCCTGCTGTCCCTGTTTGGCTTGGGACGTGGTTGAAGCCAGGGTTTCACTAGGCACCAGGAGGGTGGCATCTGGTCTTGGTCTGTACTTCAGTTTCTTATTAGTAGAGCAAGGTAATGACCCCACGAAAAGAATGTGAGTAAAAAAAAAAAAATAAATAAAGCAATGTGGGTGTGGGCTGGGGTTGTAGCTCGGTTGGCAGGGTGTTTGCATTACAAGCTTTCGGCACTGGGTTTCATCTCCAGCAGAGCACTGAGAAAGCAAAGATGTGAAAAGTCACCTAGGTGCAGGGTGGTTATGCTACTAGCTGGCCATCCCCATCTTTTGGATGCCCTTGATCTGGGCAGAATGGACCTGTTGCTGTTACTGGTGTATTTAAACCCAGGCATAGGATCTAATGTTCATTCGTCTCTGTGTAGATCAGCCTTACACATCTCATAGGACACTGACTTCGACCATGCCAATTCCAGTGAAAGAACTGCCAGACTTGTCTGTTTTAGGGAGCTGGGTCAGCAGGAATCCTAAAGCAGCTATTGGTGATTTTAGTTTTAGAATTACTTTTGAGAGATTTGTCATGGAGGGAAAGAAAACAGGAAATCCCTGAAAAAGATAGGAAATAAAAAAAAAAAAAAAACCACCCTAAAGGAATATATGCAGAGCTTGATGAGAATCCTGGAGTTCAGGGCCACACCCACATACTCCACCCCCCACCCCACCCCAGACGGAAGGAAAGCTTTGAGAAGTAGATGGTTGTCAATGAACCAGGAAATGAGTTCATCTGTGAAGAACCAAAAGATGGTAGGTGTTTTGGGTGTGTCATGGACCCTGTTGTTTCCAGGTAGGAGGGGCACATTCAGAAGGCTACCTCGAAGTCCAGCTACTTGTGATGTATCATAGGATGGGGAGGATGGACAGTTGGGCAACAAAGATAGCCCCTCTGGGAGAGTTCTGTGGATTTCTTGGGCACAAAGGGCTCCTCATCCACTGCTCAGTCTCTTCCCCTGGGAACTTCTCACCATCTGATGTTGGGGGATCTTCTTGAACCTCACACTCAGGAAATGAGAACAATTTCGTAGTGTCAGACCTGTGCACAGCTGTGGTTCAGGGACCCCACTCCCATGCTGAGCATAGCGGTTTGGGCTGCCAGCTTGTCCTGGCTAATGAAGGCTTCTAGACCATTCCAGAGGGCTTAGCTAGTGCAAACAGAAACTTGAAACTGAGCTGCAGGTCTCTAAGAGTCACCCAAAGAGCTTAAACAACTAAGCCTGTGACCTGTCTGGTGCCATAGAAAGACCTGGCAGGTGAGCTGGGATTGAATCGACCAACATGTTTTGTAGAGCTTGGTGGTGTTGGCCAAGTCCCAGGTTCTATTTGGACATTCATCATAGGTCTTACCATAAGGATTACCTGTAGAGGTTTAGCTCTGGCAGACAGTCCCCCTCTTCATGGGAATTCTTTATGCATACTAGTGATTTTTTTTGTAAAGTATATTCACAATACCATACAACCTTCAATACCAGAATGTCTCCAAATTTAATTCCAAGTTTCCAAAAAGAAACCCAGTACCCATGAGCAGTCACTCCCCAACTCCCTTCCTAGCAATTCTCATCTGTTCTCTGAGGAGACGATTCACATACATTGGGTCCTACAGTAGGTTGCTTTCCATGTCTGGTTTCATTTATTTAACATAAGATTCATCCATATTGCAGTGTATCAGTATGTCATCTTTATTTCCAAATTATATTCTGTTGTGAGGGTATATTGCACACACAATATATTTATTTGTTCATCTATTGATGGACCTTATGAATAGCACTGCCTTTTAGCATCCATCTATAGGGGTTGTTTTTGGGGGGGTAGTTTAAATGTGATTGGCCCCCATAATCTGAGAGTGGCACTATTACGAGGTGTGGCTTTGTTGGAGTGGGTATGGTCTTGTTAGAGGAAGTGTGTCATTGTTGGGTGGGCTTTGAGGTTTCCTATGCTCAGGATACTGCCCAGTGTCTCAGTTGACTTCCTATTGCCTGCAAGGTATAGGACTCTCAGCTATTCCTCTAGCACCACGTCTGCCTGCATGCCGCCATGCTCCCTGCCATGATGACAATGGACTGAACCTCTGAACTGTAAGCCATCACCTCAATTAAATGTTTTACTTTATAAGAGTTGTGTGGTCATGGTGTCTCTTCATATCAGTGACAGGGGTGGGGTGAAAATGGGGTCATGTGTTTTTATTTCTCTTAGGTATATACCTGGGGACAGAATTGCTGGGTCCCAGGATAACCCAGTGTCTGAACTTTTGAGGGACTGTCATCTCATTTCCTAAGCAGTTACCCTGTTTTGTGTTCCCACTAACAATCTCCCACTTTCCCCACATCCTTACTAACACTTGCTGTTGCCTATATTTTTATTATCTCATGCTCACAGGTATGAAGTGCCCTATGGACTTCATAACTGAGAAGGTGGGTACTATTCAGATCATGGGTCAAAGGCATATACTACCTTCCTGGGCTTTTCAGAAAAAGGCACTGCCTTCCAAATGAATTGGCCTTCCTTCCACACTTACAAAGTAGCTTCCACAATTGGGAGGTCTCATGGGTTCTCATGCAATGGAACGGTTGAGTGTTACTGATTTTGTCCTCTGAATGTAGCAGCCATTACCACCTTAACCAGAGTGGTTTTGGCTACCTGCCTTCCCCAGAGACACTCCCTTGAGTTTCCAGCCCCTATCTCTCTCCCTCCCGTGCTCTTTCCCAGCTGTATGTAGTTCTGCCCCAGATGCACACAGCCTTGGGAGATGCTGGAGCTTATAGAGTATAGAAGATTAACTGAAGGGGTACTCTGTGCAGATATGGGAAGTCATTGTCCATGCTGGGGGACTTCAGTGATGTAGCTGTTTGGGGGTCACCCACACTCCTGTAAGTAACCCCTCACCCATGCTCCTATAAGTCTAGTAGTTTGTGGTTAACCAAACCAGTTGGGTGGTCTGTTGGTGTGTCCTATCTGGGATGAGTAGATATTTGATTATGTCCTCCCAGCAAAAGTCACACGACATTGAGATGTCAATGATTCCATCCTTCCCCTCTTGGCTGAGAGATGAAGGAAGAAGCCTGTACTTGATGATGGGTGGAGATTTTCTGGTTCATCTCTACCTCAAATCTCCAGTGTTCTTCCAAATACAGCCTGGCAACCTTGAGCAGCCTGTGTGGACGGATAAATGTGCCATTGCTCTTGCATGCACACTGGAATCCTCCAGCCCACGTTTTCATGTCATTTGTTTACTTACTTATTTATTGATGGCTTTTAAGAGATGAAAGTGGAGCTTATCACCTGTCACATTTCATCCTAGGAAGCCTTCAAGGGAATTGGCAGTCTATTCTGGGCAGGGACAGGAGAAGCCTTCCGCTTCTCACGTATCATTCTGAATAGGGCCCCTTGGGCTCCCATTTTCCTGGAGCTTTGGGGCCAGTTTTGAATGGAAGCCTCAAAACTGCTTTGCACTTCTGACTCAGCCAGTGTTGAACATTTCCAAAGTGGAGCCTCAGGCCATGGAGTAGTTCAGAGATAAAATTTATTTTAAAATATATATGTGGACAAATGACTTTGCTTCTCCACAAAGAACTCTGTGTCCTTTTGGGCATGACTGTTCAGGCTCTGGGTCCTCCTGTAATTCCTTTTCTTGAGGGTCAGTGAATTTTGCCTATATCCATCACAAGTCAAATCTGTAGCGTTATGTACTTGGAAAAAGACAGAACACATCATCTGATAAACCAAGAATAAAGGAGGAGCTTAGAATGGTGGTGTAGTGCTGTGATCCCAGCATGGAGGAGGCTGCGGTGGGACTATCTCAAGTTTAAGGTCAGCCAGCCCCCATAGAGAGAGACCCTATCTCAAAAACAAAACAAAACAAACTCAAGGTTGGCAAGATGGTTCAGTGGGTAAAGGCACTTGCCGCCAAGCCTGATGCCCTGAGTTCAATCCCCAGGACCGGAATGGTGAAAGGAGAGAGCTGACCTTCAAGTTGTCCTCTGACCTCCACAAGTATAGCACTTGTACACACACACACACACACACACACACACACACACACACACACACGTAATAAAAAGTTAAAAACACCAAGCCAAATAAAAAAGAATGTTAATGTTTTCTTGATCTCTAAATGGGGTAATAAATGATCTCCATGTCAAATGAAATTCGGGTTAAATGAGATTTTTATGTGGGATGAACCAAACTGTCCCTGTTATGTGGCATTCAATTATTAGCTGTTCTCTCTTTCTCTTTGCAGTTATTGAGATAAACAAATACAAAGATAAAATAAGCATATATATATATATATATATATATATATATATATATATATATGCCACTATTACTGCTAGTTGGTTGTGAATATGCCCAGGATCATGCTCTCTCCCATGCCTCTTTTTAAAAATGTATTTATTACTTTTTAATGTGTGTATGGGCATGCACATGCCATGACACACTTGTGAAGGTCAAGGGACA